AGTCTGAAGGGAGTGTCCCACACTGACTGGCTGGAGGAACTGAGTCTTTTTTGTTTGTAACTAAATTTTTTGTTTGTAACCTTTTTGAGAAACAGCTGATCACTACCCCTGAACCTGCCTCATCTGCACACAGAACAGATCCTTACGAGAATTTGTTTTTTCCACCAAAAGGATATTTCAGCCTTTCAAGCATATTCTGTCAAATTTTTACATTGTATGTTTTGTGACTTATCGTATAACACTTGACTAGATGTCACCACAGCTAATATGGGGTGTAACTGTTTCTCTACTCCTGAACAGGTCGAGAAGATGTAAGTGAAACTCCTGATCTGAGAATCGTGCTGCTGGGGGCACATGGAGTGGGAAAAAGTTGCTCAGGAAACACCATCCTGGGGAGAGAAGTATTTCAGTATGGGGTCTCCACCTCCTCCCTCACACAGCACTGCAGGAAAGAAACTGGAGAGGTGTCAGGGAGGAGTGTTGCTGTGATCGACACTCCAGGCCTGTTTGACACAGAGCTCTCCAATGATGAAGTCATACGTGAGATCCTGACCTGTGTCTCTCTGACCTCCCCGGGACCCCATGTGTTCCTGGTGGTGATCCAGCTGGGCAGATTCACACAGGAGGAGAAGGACACAGTGAAGCTGATCCAGGAGACCTTTGGACAGAGAGCAGCACATTACACCATGGTGCTCTTTACACGGGGGGATCAACTGAAAGGCAAAACTCCTCAGGATTTTCTTAAAACAGAATGTAAAGGACACCTCCAAGAACTGATGCAAACCTGTGGGAGCAGCAGATACCACGTGTTCAACAATGCAGACATGAGCGATCGCACCCAGGTGACAGAGCTGCTGGAGAAGATAGAGGAAATGGTGGTGGTGAACCAGGGCTACTACGCTATTGACCTGCAGCAAGACGCCAAGAGGAAGGAACACAGGAAGAGAGAGTCGAAGGCGCAGAGGGGGGAAGTGGACAGAGGGAAGATGACAATGGGAAAACAAGAGGAGAAAAAACCAAGAAACCAAGAATGGAGTTCATGCCACTTTCAGTAAGAGCCAGACATGGTCCAGTGTTTTACAGGTCCTGGAGGTCCAGTCAAGTGCAGGTTTATTGTCTTTTATCTGAGTACAATGAAATGCTTGTTTCCATGTTTTCCTCACATGACAAATGACACAAAAGATGACATAAACAATGACATTACATTGACATATAAAATTATATACTGTAAGTAATGACATCACAACTCTTGGAGACAGGAACAGGGCAGCAGCTATAATTTCAACCAGCTTTTAGATAGCAGCAGTGTGCAACTTTCAGCAGTGGCAGTATTTTGAGTTCAGTGCAAGAGGAGGAGTTTAGGTCTTATGGCTGGGGGGTAGAAGTTTTCTTTGAACCTAGAGGTCTGGGCTTTTATACTCTTAAATCTTCTGTCAGAAGGAAGAAGAGAAGAGTGTATTCCCAGGGTGAGTTTGGTCTTTGGTTTTCTTGTTTGCCGTTCTGTGGCAGCGTGTGGTGAACGTGGTCTGGATGGAGGGGAGTTCTGTACCAGTGGTCTGTATTCCCACTCGGCTCTTCACAACCTCAATCAGCCCATAATTGTCTAAATAGGGTCAATTTAACAGCTTCTCTTAGCTCTCCAGCTGCCACTTGACCGCTGCAGACATACACTGACCCTCCAGGAGCAGGACTGGACAGGCCACAGACACACTGACCCCCCAGGAGAGAGACTGGACAGGCCTGGTGTAGAGAGACTGGACAGCCCCCAGACACACTGACCCTCCAGGAGAGAGACTGGACAGCCCACAGACACACTGACCC